CTAAAGGGTGCCTGTGGTTGTTTGGTGACGGGGGGGGGGGGGGTCTCTGCAACTTACCTGGCTGCTTCTTGCTGTGACTGAGGGCTGCTGGGAGCAGGGGGCAGGGCTTGTTGTATGTGCCCGCCCCCTGGGCTCTTTACTGCCGGAGCTCTGCTCCTATGTGCTCCTGCAGGAAATTTGCATTTGGTTTTTTTAATTATTATTTTAAATGATTTTATGCTGCTTTCCCACCCAAATAGGGTTCCCCACGGCGGAGCCAGGTCTGACCACCCAAACTCTGTTCCCTGTGCACAGCAGTATTCTCACTCAGGTTAGACTGCCGTAAGATGTTGCCCTTTCTCTAGCCAGACTCCTACAAGCATTATGAAAGAGAAAGTTCTTTCCCTGCTTTGAGTAAGCTGCAGCTAAACAATCTCTGTATGTTTTTTTCTCTGCCGGAGCAAATTTCCTGCCAGAATTGCAATTCCCTTTGTCAGCCATCATTCCTCAAACTGTTTTGGTCATTCTGATTAACAGTGAGGCCATTTGCCATTGCAGCTTCGCCACTTGGGAAACGACGAGGTTCACGTTGTCTGGTCTGAACATACCAGGAATTATCGCAGGGGCATCATACCGACAGATTTCGGAGACGTTTTAATTGTTATTTATCCAATGAAGAATCACATGTTTTTCATAGAGATCATGAAGAAGCCAGAGGTATGTTTTGTTTTTGTTTTTTGGTGATTTCATTAGGTCCATGATAGCCAGTATTTTCAGGATAGGAACCGTTCTAACACCTGAAGACAGTCTGTTAATAGCAAACCCTGAGCAATATTTTTAGGACATATAACAGCTTATGTTGAAAGTGTATTTATTTGAAACACTTTTACCTCACCCCTCAATCAGAATGTTTTCATGGCAGCTTACAAAAACAGATCACAAATCAACGTTATTAAAACAGATTTTAAAATGTTTAAACAGTAATGATGAAAGAAAGAAAACAAAATGTTACTGTGGCAGAAACAGAAAACCAAAATAATTAAAGAGCAACACACAGACATCAACACATATATATGTATGCCAAGCAGGAATATAGAGAGTCTGAAATCAACAGGGCACATAAAATCCACAAACTATATGAAGATGATGAAGAAGAAGAGATTGAGTTTATACCCCGCCCTTCACTCAGAGTCTCAGAGCGTCTTACAAACTCCTTTCCCTTCCCCTCCCCACAACAGACACCCTGTGAGGTAGGTGGGGCTGAGAGAGCTCTTTCAAGAACTGCCCTTTCAAGGACAGCTCTTGTCAGAACTGTGGCTTGCCCAAGGTCATCCAGCAGCTGCGAGTGGAGGAGTGGGGAATCAAACCCAGTTCTCCCGGATTAGAGTCTGCACAAACCACTACACATGTCCAGGGTGAGGGGAGAAGGCAATCAGCTAGAAGCTCGGAATATGTCTCCACTTGATCCCAAGAGCTGAACGGGCTTGGTACTAGGCAAATTACAATTGGGAAGGTGTTCCATATTTGGTGTGCCACAGCTAAGAAAGCCTTGCTCCTCATGCAAACCTGTCTCAGAAAAAGGAGGAAGGCCGAGCAGAGCCTTTATAATATCTCCACTAATGGGCAGGTGCATCCGAGAATAAGTGTGTGAACCATTTTGTACACTGCAACCCTATTACCTGCGCAGAAAAGCCCTCTTGTATAGTTCAGGTTTGCACAGGTTGCAAATTTAAGTTTAAGGAATTTAAGTTTTTGTTTCTCAACATACTTGGATGCTAATGTTTGTGCCATTCTTTACAGTAATTGACCGTGTGTCACTTTTTTTCTTCACTAGCTTTGAATGTTTCTCAGAATGAAACCCTTCTTGTTGCCTTTAGAGCCCATTCAGATGTTAGAAAGCAGTATGAGAAAGAGAAGCCTATGTGGCCTGTACTTCTCAATCCTCAATTCTAGTTTGCAAAGTAGGAATTCATGGATTTTACTCATGCTCAAATGCCTACTGGTTCGGCTTGCATTCTGTTCACCGGTCACAAACGGGGACCTGTTTTTCAGTGACAGCTTCAGTAGTTCATCAGCCTGCTCACTGGTTGACAGGTCGCTTTACTGTATTCCTTCCTAATCACGTTGTACAGCATAGTTTGCTTTTTGTACATGTGCATTCTCACACAGCCCAATCAAGTTCTTCTACCCTCCGTCCTTGCTGAGTATCTGCTCCACTCAGCAGGCAGTTGTTTAAATAGACAATTAAATCAGTCACAAATCATATAAATCAGTTATAAATGAATGTTGGTTTTAATAAAATCATACCCTTTGGTGTCTGACAAAGAAGTTCCCTACTGATGCTAATGGCCGCTGCTCAGTTTGAATCAGCAGCGTATTTGTGAATGCTCAGTTTTACAAAAAACCTTGTGCAAACCAGTTTGGCAGCTGTTTGCAGCTGAGCAGTGCGAACCAAACAGGTTGGGTGATTGATTGATTGATTGATTGATTGATTGATTGATTGATTTGGGATTTATATCCTGCCCTACCAAATGGCTCAGGGCGGCTGACAAGCGGCAATGCCGAATAAAAACAATAAAACAATGTTATATACATAATAAAATTCGGTGCTCTACTATTCTACATTAAATCCCCCAAGATATGCAACATCCCACATTGACGGCCAGTTCAATTAAATGACGTGAGCGCCAGGAGTGATATTTTTCCCATCTCTGCCAGGGCGGCATATACCACCCCCCCAAGTAATAGGGGTAGATGATAAGATGGTATCTCAGTGGTGGAAGAGTGGCGGCGGCGGCTCCTACTCAAAAGCCTGGCGGAAGAGCTCCGTCTTGCAGGCCCTGCGGAACTGTATAAGGTCCCGCAGGGCCCGGATCTCCTCCAGGAGCTCGTTCCACCAGGTAGAAGCCGCCACCAAAAACGCCCTAGCCTTAGTTTGGACAAACTTCACGTCTCGGAGGCCTGGGACTTCCAGGAGGTGGAGGCTCCCCGATCGTAGTGCTCTTGGGGGAACATACGGGAAGAGGCGGTCCCTTAGGTAAGCCGGACACTGGCCATTTAGGGCTTTAAAGGTAAGAACCAGCACTTTGAAGCTAATCCAATCAGCTCACATTCGATGGGCACCCTCAAATACGTTCATGGGGACCTTTGCAGCATCTCTACTCGCAGTAAGCTCCAAGACACACAGTTGATTCCTGCAGCATTCAGACTTAGCTGGAGGAGAAGCAGGGAGTATGGAGGCACCGCAACGTCCACACACTCTTGTGTTCTTCACTTATTTCCGTATGCAGTTTTTAAATTAAATATATATATTTTATATTTTTGTGTACTCTAACTTGGTTTATAAAAAAGGTATGCTTTTGGATTCAGCAAGGGTGCCCTTGCGCATGGAACGTCTTCTCAGTTGCCTCCTACATAAACAAACGTGCCTTAAATTGGAACCACATAAGCAGCACCAAATGGCTCTGATAGCGGGGGGGGGGAGCTGAATCTGCACTCCCCGTGATTGTTGAAGAGCTGTTGGTGTCATCAAAACAAAACAGCGCCGTCTCCTTTTGGCAACTGCTTGAGCGGTCGTCTTCTCATTCCACATGCGAAGATCTCTAAAACAGTGCTGCAGAATGAGTGAAATTTGCAATAATATTGGACTGATGTGTGCCGCGTGAACGTGTACTAAAAAGATTGTATACTTGATATGCTGGAATTAACCTCCCAAGAGCATTCAGTTAAAATATCGTTAGACTATTCAGTTAAAATATTATTATGCATCCAGTTATAGAAAGGTTATCTTCCTTTAAACGATATCGAACTTGAATACTTAACTCGACACACACACGGTGGTAGCCAAAGTCTCCAACTTAACCATTTCTGCTCGTCGCGTGGACAGACCTGATGTCTCCTCGCGTCCCCCATTCCTTTGCCCTTGGTGACATTCCCCACAATGCAAAAGGTGATGTGATATGCCCTGCCGAGCCCACTTTCCACTTGTTCAGCTGTCGCGGGATTTAAAATGAATTACACCGTTTTTTTAAACGCAGTTTATCACAATAGCCCCCGTGGCCCTGTTCATTGTGGGGGAAGAGGCAGCTGCCTCTTGTGTCTGTAGATAATGGTAGATTTAGGCAACTCTCAGACAGGCTCCAATTCTCGCTGCTGCCCTGAGGCACCAGGACCCCGTGAAGAAGGAAAATGTGGGGCAGCTTCAGAAGCAGATGACGTATAGCCGACCAAAGACCAACATGCTCAGAGAAATTAAGGACAGCACTAAAGTGTAGAGGTGTGCCCCTTGTTACGTCTTAGTGGTCTGAGATCTGTTGGAGGAGATTTCAAAAACGGGCTTTTGTTTTTTGGAACCCAAGCGTCTTGGCCTCCAGTAGCAACACTTCCCCTGAGGGAGAAACTGCACTAAAATCCTAATCGTGGGTCACATTATTGCCTACTTGCATTGACACATATGGTAAAGAGTCGACGAATTGCCCCCTTGACACTGAAGCCTTCTCGGCCCTCTAGGTTCGATTTTGGCTCCCCAAATAGTTTCATTAAAAGTCATGTTGGGATTGATGAGGGTTCTTGCACGATGGAGGACGAGAGGAGGAGAGCTTGTTTGCTCGACTGATGCAGCTGTTATCTTCCAAGTATCCAGTCTGCAGAAAGGAAAATGGCAAACGGGGGAAACGTATTAAGCCTTCCATTTAAAATACAACCTTCTCAGTGTAATAAAATTAATCTGGACATTTCCAGGGCAAAATGTGGCTGACCTTTCGTTCACCAGCGACTGACCCCCGAATGAATGAAAGCAGCTTTTCGAGAGAAATGGCTGTTTGGCTTCGGTCCCTGGTATTTAAATTGCATTCCCTAATCAAATGAAAAAGCTGTCCCTTTTCTGTCAGGTTTGAGGATCCATGGTAACATTTGGCCTTTTATGTACATGTTAGCCTTTTCTGTTTGCATCTAAGTAGAGACACCTGGAGCAATGTTAACATTCACCGATTTAGTATTAATAGCTTCATTATGTAAGGCTCTCTGATCAGATAGCTGTTACTTTTGTTATATCGCTACAGCTTGCATTGTGTTCAGGGTTTTTTTTAAAAAAATTATTATTATCCTCCGGCTTGGCAACCAGGCAACGATTTGCAAACTTTTTTGTCTTGATTAATTAAGCAATATAATTATCGGGAACTGCGATGCAGTCTTTTGCTCAACAAAGCCGCCGAGAGGAAAACAATAGTAAGTCTGTTAGTCTGAATGCATTCCACGCGTCGCAGATGCATTAAGATATTCCGAACAATGAGGCAGAGAGCGGACAAAGAGTGCCTTGCAGCCTCGACACGCTGCACATACCGCCAGGGACACGCGGAGAGTTCCCTTGGACACAGATGCCTCGTTAGATTGCAGCCAGTCAGCAGAGATTTAATTCTCGGCCATTTGGTACAATAATTTACTAATTCGCCAGCTTTTAAAACTATATTGCTTACTGTGGAAGACAAGTCTTTGTCCTCAAAAGGCTTATTTAAATTTGACTGTAGCGTGTTTTTTTTAAAAAACTGAGTACAATGGAGCTTTTTTTGCTTACTAATTGTAGTAGGGCGGAAGTGGCAGTGTGAGGAATATTAATTGTTTCATGATAACATTAGAATTTGTGAAGGTCACCAGGAAGGAGGCTGTGTCGTTTCTTATCTGGATGTTTGTCAGGCAAGATCTTTTAATCTTTAGATTGG